GCTTCTTAGGTCTATTTGTCTTTCTTGTATTGTTTTGCTGTTTTTTAAGAAACAAAACACTTTGTCTAGGTTAAAAGATATATGCACGCAGAACTTGTCTGGTTGCATGACACAGTGCTACTTCAGTTTTATGAAGTAGGATCTGGCATGGACAGGTAAACAGGGCAGGTGGTAGGTACTATGGACCTGTATGGCCATTAAGGGGATGGAGGAGCTTGTGGGAGCCTGCTAACATTGAGCAAGCAGCCACCTGGGTAAAGAATGGAAACATGACACCTACACTGGACCATTTCTTATATTGCTGTAGGGTTTGTGTGGGGAAGGGGCAGAGAGGAAGGTTTGGTTTTCATTTCTTGTTTGTTTCCTGAGTGGTGCTGATGGTTGCTCACCCTCATTTCCCACCCCCCCATCTCACCCCCCATGAATTAATCTACCCCAAATTCTAATAAATCACGTTGGCATCAGACTGTGTTGCATGTTGGCTCCTTATTTACACCATGCTTATATAAATTTAACCCACGCTTATGTAAATTTAACCATGGCCTATGTTGAAGGCCTTATTAAGGAAAACTCCTATGAAGACAACATTGTATGTGGATGTTCTGGGTTTTTATGTTTTTCATTTAGTTTGTTGGTTTTCTTCCTAAACTCATGCAAAACTTGCATGGAAAACCTCATATTTGAAGCTTTCAAAAGGAATTACATGTATTTCTCTTAAATGGAAAAATTGTTGACTTAGGTTTTTGGTAGGGTGTGATGGCTCTTTGCTCTTTCTTCCCCAGCCTTTCTATTTCGAGAGAAAAAGGAAAAGAACAAATTTCATTTTGATTTATTGCTTTATTACGTGTCATTGAAACACCCAACTTCTATAAAAATGTTCAAGTGTTGTTTATCTTTAAGTCGTACATTTTTCAGTGAGGCCTGCTTAATATGTCACACAGAGGTGCTGTTTTGACTAATTGTGCCATGAGGAATAGAGGTATCTTAAGTAGAAGACACCAGGACTGTTCTACTGTGTAGGGTTGCATTTCCTCTTTAGACCATACGCTACGAAGATGTAGCTGCCACTCCACACAAACATCCCACCCCCCAGCGGTCAATCGCCAGCCGGGGCTGGGGGGGGGCGGTCCCCCAGCGGCTGATTGCCAACCTTGGAAGTGCCGGCGGCAAAACCGGATGTGTCAGCAGTGCTTCTCTTGGCACCCCCACACGCCAGCCAGTGAGGGGGAATCTCAGGGGGGGACACATGCCCCCCCCATACGCTCCCTACGCATCGTCTATGGCAATAGGTTTATGTAGCAGTAAAGGCGGCTTAGATTAAATCTCAGGGAAAACTTTTGAACTGTAAGAATGGCAAGATGAGAACACATTGCCTAGAGAAGCTGAGGAATTTCCTTCTTTGGAGTTTTTGAAGAAGGAGTTGGATGGCCATCTGTCTGGGTAGTTTAAGAACAATTAATCCTGCATCTCTGTAGGAACTTAAGTGAGATGACCCTTGAAGTCCCTTTCCAACAGTATAATTCTGTAAACCAATAAATGGTGCTTGCAGCTTTATCTAAGCTAAAATAGGTTCATATTATCCTAATTGCTTTCTTGCTTTCTTAAGTCTTTGTTCCCTTTATGTGGTGACCATGAATCCATAGTGTTATTCACCTGAAAACTAGAGAATCTTTTTAGTATGAATGAAAACCAGGCCATTGCAGAGGAAATAACAAAAGAACCATAAGAACATAAGAGAACATGAGACCTGTTATTTACTGGGTCGGACCATAGGTCCATCTTGCCCGGTATCCTGCATCACAGTGACAAGGTGGATGCTGAAAGGGAGAGTGAACTGGGTATGACCCAGGGTTTTTTCTGCCATTCTTCTCCTGCAGCCTCAAGCATCAAGGAAATTCTGATTCAGAGGCTGCATCGCTAATTCCCATGCTCAGTAGCTACTGATGCCCCTTTCTTCCAAGATTTATGCAATCCCTTTTTGAAGTTGGCTAAATTGTCATCTTCCACAACATCAGGTGGCAATGAGTTCCACACTTTAATGACGTGCTGCGTGCAAAAGAACTTCCTTTTGTTTGTTTTAAGTTTACTACCTACTACTTTCATTTTGTGACCCCTAGTTCTTGTATTGTGAAGGAGTAAATAATGAATCCCTATTTACTTCCTTTTTGCCATTTCATATTTGGTAAATCCCCCCCCCCCCCAACATATCTTTTCTAAACTGACTAGGCCTATTTTCTTTACTCTCTCCTCATATGGTAGCCCCTCCATACGACTAATCATCCTTTTCTGTACCTTCTCTAGTTCCTCTATATCCTTTTTGAGGTGTAGAGACCAGAACTAGGCACTGTATTCAAGGTGTGGGTGCACCATGGATACCACCAAATTTGCACTGAGGAAAACACCCAGGATTGCCACCTCACCAGTCTTAAAAAGGCTTTTGCCCAACAAGGACACTCCTCCAGAGAGAGAGATTGCACATTTGAAAGAGCTACCACCCCCACCTCACCATGCCTCTGGGAGCGAGAAGACGCATGGCATTGGGGCTGGGAAAGAGACGCATGACTTTGGGGAGGAGCCGTTGCCTGAGCTTACCTCCGGTAAGTGCCCCATGCCAGCCCCAGTGCCTCTGCCACATGTGAAGAATTGCTGCAGTACAGAAGAAAACCCCCCACAAGTCGCACACTGCTGGTTATGACACATCACCCCTCCCTTGAACCCATACAGAAAATCCTCAAACAATTGCAACCAATGTTCCCTCTAAAATGTAGCGATCTACGAGCGCGCCACTTTGGTCCTGCCACCCGCTTTCAGCACACACCGCTTCAGCCTGCCCCACAGCACCCAAAGCACCTTGTCTGCCTATGCCCTTAGACACAGCTGTAACCAGCACCCTCAAACTCAAGATTACACAATTTAGTTCTTCTAACAAAAACAACACCATTTGCAACTTCTTTTTCTGTTGGAGACGCATGGCATCAGGGCTGGGGAGCGGAGCAGTTTCCCAGTACTGGCAGAGCCTGTGTCAGCCCAGCCCCTGCATTGCCTCCGGGAACGGAGAGGTTTCCCAGCCCCAGCCTCACTTCTGGGAGCAAGGAGGCACATGGTGTTGGGGCTGGGGAGCGGAGCAGTTTCCCAGTGCCGGTAGAGCCCACACCAGCCCCAGCCCCTGCATTGCCTCCAGGAGCGAGGAGGCACGTGGCATCAGGGCTGGGGAGTGGAGCAGTTTCCCAGTGCCAGCAGAGCCTGTGCCAGCCCCCACCTCACCATGCCTCTGGAAGTGAGGAGACGCATGGTGTCTGGGCTGGGAAGGAGATGCATGGCCTTGGGGAGGAGCTACTGCCTGAGCTTACCTCCAGTAAGTGCCCCATGCTGACCCCAGTTCCTCCGCCATTGGTCTCTTCTAGTGCCATTTTTATGCTGCACCTCTCCCGGAGGGTGTGCAGCATTAATAAGTTCATGAACAGCATGCTTTTAAAGCGTGCATGGCTGCGCATGAGTATAGCTTGGAGGGAACCTTGATTGCAACTCATACTAGAAAGAGATTTCTTAAAGAAATCTTCCCAGAGCCACCCATTGTAGCTTTCAAGCAAGCACTGAACCTCGCTAACCTCATCACCACAAGCAAACTTCTTCAGGCCTAGAACACACCGAATGGATTCACACTATGCTATGACAAGAAATGCAAAACCTGCCAACACATCTCCACCACTCCCACAATTACTACACCCCACACAAAGCCATTAGCTGGATCTTACAGCTGCACCTCCAGAAATGTAATATATCTCATTCAATGCACCAAATGCCCTGATGGAAAATAAGTACGAGAGACGAAACAACTGCACACCAGAATGAATGCACGCTGGAAATCTATCAGACAAGAATACCCAATTACCAATGGGGGCACATTTCTCGCAAGAAAACCGCTCTCTCCAATCTCTCAGTTCTAATCCTCAAAGGGAATTTACAAAACACTTCCCAGAGGTGAGCCTATAAACTTAAACTAACCTGCAAAGAGTGAATCAATTCCGGGTCAGGCTTTTTGAATGTCTGTCCCTCGCCAAAGTGTATGTACAGGCATTATATTTAGATAAATATAACTAGGGTTGGGTGGATCTAAAGGCCCATCTGTACATGCATTCAGGGGGTTAAATTGAGCAAAAAAATGGCAGACCCTATCTGAGTTTTAGGTCACCTTCTCCAGTGACCTAACTTAAATGGGTAGTGAGTTAACCTAATCTATTGAATATCTGCACACTTTCAGAGCATGGCCCTGGGGATGCGAAAGCCCATCTGCCACCAGCCCCAGGGCTGTGTTTTTCTCCCCTCCCCTCCTTTCCCCGCCCCCACTGGACAATTTTTTAGCCCCTGCCTTCCCCTGACCGATTATCCTCCCTGATTTCCCACCCCACCCCATCCCTCTGCCCACCCTGAGTTAATTACTTCGGTTTCCCTGCTTGGCTCCTGGAACTGGTAAGCACCTGTACATGCCGCTCCATTCATAAAGCCTGTAATCAAGGTGAACTGCGGCTTGAATATGCAGCTTAAAGCAAACCATGTGAATGCAGACTGGTTGCAGCAAAAAACTGTACACACCCTAAGATGCCACCTTGGCCTACCTTCTGCCTGAATTCACACTAAAACGGCTAACCTCCTCTGTGGTTGCAAGTGGCTGGTCTGTTGCACACAGCTGACACTAAAACATCTGCATTACTAGTACCTAAAACAGTTTTTGGAATTGCTTTAAAAAAGTGCACAAGTTATGTCACTCTTTTGGGGAGAAGAGGTGGGGTACACTTACACTGCATGTTGCGTACAAGTGCAGTACAGGGTAGAAATGCCTGAGCTAACTTGAGTCTTGGAAATAGTCTAGTCCCAGTAGCACATCATGGGCACAAAGTTCTGTACAACTAACCTGGCTTTGCTTCTCAGTCCTCTGTGGTGTGGATTTGGTTTCATTTCCAAAGCCCCAATCTAAGTGCGGGTATAGAGGAAAAGCTTACCTTTCTATCAGCTATTTTTCTTCAAAGGAGGAAAGACTTCAGTCCACTGAAGCCAGGCTGGCTGAGAAGGAAGCTAAAATGCTGTGCAGCTGCACAAACAAGCTGAATCTGAGCAAATTAAAAAGCGAAGCTCCACAAGCACAACCAAGTGCTTTCTCCAATAGGGAAGCTGCTCCGCAAGATCTGTCACAGCCCCGGTAAAAGTTTAAAGGTAAAGTAAATAACAGATAAATCAGTGGACCTTAAACAGGCATGGGAATACTAAGCCATGAAGCCTGTAATCAAGGTGAACTGTGATTGAATAGAGGCAATGCCCTGTAAGGGGAGTGGAGCCTCACGTGCTCCAGCACACCCAGCAGCAAGTGATTCTGTTGGTCCCAGTCTCTTTTGTCTTTCTTTCAGGACTTCAAATTTTGAGACTGTCCCTTGATTTCTGTTTTCAACTGTGAGCCCCCTTAGGGCAGTGCTTAAAGTACTGCAGATATTAAAGAATTAATACACTAATCCAGGGTGGCAGCTCTAGGAATTGAGGGAGTTATTAGTATTCGGTGGCTGTATCAGGGTGGTATCAGGCCATACCTATCCGGGCCCAAAACTTGGGCCTGGCTTAAGCCAAACACAATGTAGGCAGAGGCAGGGAAGAGAAAAAGAAAAGCACTTCCATGCTTAGGGCTGAGCATTTTTTGGTCAAAGATGCTATGTATTTTGTCAGCTAAAATAGGCCCCTTATAGGGCCATTACAGTATTAGTATTTCACCCAGGATATCAAGCTGTCACCCACACTCGAGGTGAGGAAATTAAGGTTAGGTATGCTTGGTGTACACCAAGCATCCCCAGCCAAAGGGAGTGCTGAGAATCAGGGCCTTAGCATTCCTGTACTGTATCATAGAAACGTAGTGCTGGAAGAAACCTCATGAGGTCATCTAGTCCAAGCCCCAGCTCAAGACAAAATTATCCCTATCTATATAGTACTAGACAAGTGTTTATATAACCAGCATGTAAAACAGGTTCCAATGCTTAATCACTCTCATAATGAGTGGTCTTCCTGATATCTGACCTAAACTGCAATTTGAGACCATTCCTCCTTGTCAGTGTAACTAAGTCGGGGAGAGAATAACCAGGGCAGAGGCCCCAGACACCACTTTTGGTGGTGTTTAATCGGAGTTTAATTACAGATTAAACTCAACTGCTTTGAGTTTAAACCGCATTTAAACCAGTCTGAGCATTACATGTGTCCGTGTCTTCTGATATCATGTTCTTATCTTTGTACTAGTGCACTCTTCTTGGCCTCATGTCAGGATGTAGTCTCAGCTTGCTTTGTTTGTGTGATACCCAAAGAACCTTCCGTTTGCAAGCTACGTATTTTTATACTTACTATGTGCTTGTAAATGGCAAACTATACCCTTTGCAGATGTATAGGCAGGGAGGCAAGGTGTAGACAAGGGCAGAATCTAACTTGGCCTCTCTTACTACCTTTTAATTAAAATAATGAGTGGTTACTCCTGATCACTAGAACCTGCTTCTTCATAGATAAAAAGAGCTCTTTTCTCTCTACCAGGAACCCTAGTATTGTTATAATGACCAGAACAGTGCACATCAATGTAGTGGCATACCAGTGTGGAGAAAAAGAAAAAGCACCAAAGACTGCAGTTAAATGAACAAAAATGTCAGCATGTACAGCTCCTGAAATTTAATCACAAGTATCATAATTGATGTCTTTGCCTTTAAAGCCTTACCTCACTGAATCTTCTGATAAAGTAGAAATGTTTTAGACAGGCAAAATTTTTTACTGGATCATCTATATGGTTGGGATAGACTTAGTCAAGATTTTGGATATCCCACTACCCTTCCTTGGATGGGTTTTTTAAATTACCACTTGTAGTTGAGAAAAGACTGAAAAACATGAGTCCTAAAGGCTTGGGAAAAAAAGGAAAATTCACAATCCCTTCCACACACAATCTCCTGACCATTGGGGCTGTCTCATTGGAAATGCACAATAATTCTACTACAGTAACGCACATGTAATTCAGTCATGGTATTTGCACACTATCTGTTCTAAGGAACTGATATATACTACTGCAGGTGTTCCTATTTCTGAAGACAAGTAGTTAAAGTCAGTTTTGATCAATTTAAGATTAAATCTGTGTTTGGCTATTCTTTATTCTGAAATTATCATTTCCATATATAAGTGTTCTAAAACAGCTGAACTGGCTCAGATTCACACTTTTGATTGTTTGAGGAAAAGTCTGCGCATCTGATTCTGATATCAGGCCAGATAATCATTCTGCACAGAACACTTCCATTACTGGTGCTTGACTGGAAGCAATGAAAACATTACACTGTCAAAAGGAAATAATGGTCCACTTCTATTATATACATTATTGGGGGGGGGATAATATAGGTGTCCAATGTGGGCCTTGGCATTGCATTTCCTTTGTTGTACTGCCCACTAGTCTAAACAGATTTTATTAGATTATTCCTCCTTTTCCTTCGGTCAGCCTCTCCTTCTACTCTAGCTCTGGATATTATATTCATGCTGAGACGTTGTCATATCATTACATCTCCATTTTGAAAATGATGGTGCTAACAACACATCTTATTGTATTGACAAGTCCAACAAAGGGCTTGATTGTGCCACTAGGGCACAGCCCAGCATAGAGTAGGTTTGTCCTGGGGTGAGTTCTCAAAGGTTCATTATTTCCCCATTTGCTGGGATAGCACACCTTTTGTGCCACGTTTTCAGAGACGGAGGCATGCACAGTACAGAACGGCATCTGCTACTGGGGAGGCTTGTGCTGATTTAGATTATTACAGGGAACCTGTAACTGGGGCACTATCACTTACTAAAAAAAAAAGGGGGCAAATAATACTTTTTATCAGGGCATTAGACTTTGAGAGGTTGCCTTTGCTCTTACAAAGGCATTTCTTTGTATCTGTTAGAAATGCAATTCCATTTTTTCCCCAGCTGCTTAAATGCCAGTCTCCTGTTTTGATGTTTTGCATAGCAATGTTATCTGCCCTTACAGATCAGATAAGAAGCATTAGGTAGTAGTGCTGTTTAGTTACTTAAATAACTATGAAATGGTCTAAATAGAATGTTCCAACACAAGAAAACATGGTCTCATTAGTGTAAATCAGCATACCTCCTTTAAGTCAGTATATCTGCACCAGTTATATCAACTGAAAAGTTAGCCCACACTCT